TGCAGTAATCCAATCATAAGGACAGTCAAATGTGCTTATACATATTCAAGAAATCAAAATAATAATTAGTTCATTTGTGTCCTTATTATTAATGTCACTGTTTTTTAGATTTTTCATATAAATGATGTCATGTGGCATTTTTCCTTCTCTTTTGTCCCATTTCACTTTGAATGACAGTCTTCTGGTCCATCCGTATTGCTGCAAATGGCATTATTTTATTCTTTTTTATGGCTGAGTAGTGTCCCATTGTATATATGTACCACATCTTCTTTATCCAGTCATCTATTGATGGACATTTGGGTTGTTTTCATGTCTTGGCTATTGTAAATAGTACTGCTGTGAACATTGGGGTGCATGTGTCTTTTTGAATTTCACTTTTCTCTGGATATATTCCCAGGAGTGGGATTGTTGGATCACGTGTTAAGTCTGTTTTCAGTTTTCTAAACAACGTCCGTGCTGTCTTCCATAGTGGCTGCACCAGTCTACACTCCCACCAACAATTTAGGAGGGTTCCCTTTTCTCCACACCCTCTCCAGCATCTATCATTTGTAGACTTTTCAGTGATGGCCATTCTGGCTGGTGTGAAGTGATATCTCATTGTAGTTTTGATCTGCATTTCTCTGACAATTAGCGATGCTGAGCATTGTTTAATGTGCCCATTTGCCATTCTTGTGTCTTCATTGGAGAATTGCTTATTTAGGTCTTCTGCCCATTTTTGGATTGGGTTGCTTTTTTCTTTGACATTAATGTGTATGAGCTGTTTGTATATTTTGGAAATTAGTCCCTTGTCAGTCACATCATTTGCAAATATTTTCTCCCATTCTGTAAGTTGTCTTTTTGTTTTGTTGGTGGATCTTTAACTGTGCAAAAGCTTTTAAGTTTAATTAGATCCCATTTGTTGATTTTTGCTTTTAACTCCAATGCTCCAGGAGCTGGTTCAAAAAATATATTGCTGTAATGTATGTCCACAAGTGTTCTGCCTGTTTTCCTCTAGGAGTTTTATAGTATCTGATCTTACATTTAGGTCTTTAATCCATTTTGAGTTTATTTGTGTACAATGTTCTACTTTCAGTCTTTCACAGATAGCTGTCCAGTTTTCCCAGCACCACTTATTGAAGAGACTGTCTTTTCTCCATTGTATATTCTTGCTTCTTTGTCATAGATTAATTGACCATACTTGCGTGGGTTTATTTCTGGACTTTCTATCCTGTTCCATTGATCTATGTGTCTGTTTTTGTGCCAGTACCATACTGTTTTGATTACCGTAGCTTTGCAGTATAGTCTGAAATCAGGGAGTGTGATTCCCCCAGCTCCATTCATTTTCAAGATTGTTTTGGCTATTCGAGGTCTTTTGTGTTTCCATACAAATTTTACCATTTTTTGTTCCACCTTGGTGAAGAATGTCGTTGGTAACTTGATAGGGATTGCATTGAATCTGTAAATTGCCTTGGTTAGTATGGCCATTTCAACAATATTGATTCTTCCGATCCAAGAACACATTATATCTTTCCATTTGTTTATGTCGTCTTCAATGTCCTTCATCAATGTCTTAACAGTTTTCGGCATACAGGTCTTTTGCCTCCTTGAGTAGGTTTATTCCCGGGTATTTTATTCTTTTTGGCATGATGGTAAATGGCATCGTTTCCTTAATTTCCCTTTCTGCTTTTCATTGTTAGTGTATAGAAATGCAGCTGATTTCTGTATATTTATTTTGTACCCTGCAACCATATTCGTTGATGAGTTCTAGAAGTTTTCTGGTTGCTTCTTTAGGGTTTTCTTTGTATAGTATCATGTCATCTGCAAACAGTGACAGTTTTACTTTTTTGTTTCCAATTTGGATTCCTTTTATTTCTTTTTCTTCTCTGATTGCTGTGGCTAAGACTTCCAGAACTAATTGAATAAAAATGGTGAGAGTGGGCATCCTTGTCTTGTTCCTGATCTTAGAGGGGATGCTTTCAGCTTTTCCCCATTAAGTATGATGTTAGCTGTAGGTTTGTCATATATAGCCTTTATTATGTTGAGGTATGTTCTGTCTATGCCCATTTTCTGGAGAGTTTTAATCATAAGTGGGTATTGAATTTTATCAAAAGCTTTTTCTGCATCTGTTGAGAGTATCATGGTTTTTATTCTTTAATTTGTTAATGTGGTGTATCACATTGATTGATTTCCATATATTGAAAAATCCCTGCATCCCTGGGATAAATCCGACTTGATCGTGTTGTATGATCCTTTTAATGCAGTGTTGGAGTCAATTTGCTAGTATTTTGTTGAGGATTTCTGCATCTATATTCATAAGTGATATTGGCCTATAATTTTCTTTTTTTGTGATATCCTTGTCTGGTTTTGGTATTAGGGTGATTATGGCCTCATAGAATGCGTTTGGAAGTACTCCATCCTCTGCAATTTTTTGGAATAGAAGGATAGATGTTAACTCTTCTCTAAATGTTTGGTAGAATTCACCTGTGAAGCCATCTCGTCCTGGACTTTTGTTTGTTGGGAGGTTTTTAATTACGAATTCAGTTTCAGTGCTGGTAATTGGTCTATTCATATTGTCTGTTTCTTCCTAGTTTAGTTTTGGCAGATTGTACCTTTCTAAGAAATTGTCCATTTCTTCTGTGTTGTCATTTTTGTTGGCGTATAGTTGACCACAGTAGCCTCCTATGATTCCTTGTATTTCTGTGGTGTCAGTTGTAACTTCTTTTTCATTTCTGATTTTGTTAATTGGGGCCCTCTCCCTTTTTTTCTTGATGAGTCTGACTGAAGGATTATCAATTTTGTTTATCTTTTCAGAGAACCAGCTTTTAGTTTCATTGATCTTTTCTATTGTTTTTTTAGTCTCTATTTCATTTATTTCTGCTCTCATCTTTATGATTTCTTTTCTTCTACTAACTTTGGGATTTGTTTGTTCTTCTTTCTCCAGCTGCCTTAGATGGAAGGTTAGGTTATTTACTTGAGATTTTTCTTGTTTCCTGAAGTATGCTTGTGTCACTATAAACTTCCCTCTGAGAACTGCTTTTGCTGTGTCCCAGAGGTTTTGAATTGTTGTGTTTTCATTTTCATTTGTATTTTTGAAAGTATTTTTTGAAAATATTTTTGGAAGTATTTTTTTATTTCCTCTTTGATTGCTTCAAAGCTCTTTTTGAGCAACTTGAAACCATGAGAAAAATATTGCCCAGTTCTGAAATAACTATAAAGCGTCCAATAAGGAGAGCATCAGTTTAGGGTTTTTTTTATCCTTTTTGTTACCTGTGATCCTTTCTTCTCTCACCAGTATCCTGTTATCTTGAACAGATATGAGTGTGTTTTTTGCGTTCTTCCCTTCCCTCAGCCAAACCTTTCTGGAAGGAATCATTCATTTAAATAAGAAATAAGTATACCTTGCTATATTTGGGTTCAAAGAAGAAAATGAAAAGTAGGAAATGCCACTAAGCCCCAGGAAGATTCATCTAGACAACAGTTCTATTTTGTGGGTTTGATTTTTTTTTTCTTGTGGAAAATTTGAAGCTACACTAAAAGTAAAAGAGAATAGAATAATGAACTACCATGTAATCAGGATTCATCTTCAACAGTCATCAGATTCCATCACTTTTCTTTCGATTGTCTCTGCCCACTTTTTTTCCTGGGCTTTTTTCCCCCTGAACTTAAAGCAAATCCCTGAAATCATGTTACTTACCAAAAGTAGTTCAGTATATATCTCTGTCTGAAGTGGACATTTTTTTCCATAACCATCATACCATTATCACATTCAACAAAGTTGACAACATTTAACATATTAGTCATCTAATTCTCAGTCCATATTCCATTTACCCCAGTTGTCTCAGAGATGCCTTTTTGCTGTTGGGAGTAAATCAGGTCCAAACAAGCCTACATATTGCATTTGGTTATTTTCTTTATTCTGTGATACAGACTTAAGTGTTCTTAACTTGGAGTTCATAGATAAATTCAAGGCTATCCAAGAATCCATTGACATTTTTCTTATTATTAAAGTTTGTGTGTGTACTTTTTTTTGGGTTAGGGGATCATAGTGTTTATCCAATTGTGATATGGTTCTGTAATACAAAATACGTTGGAAACCACTGATGCAGACTTTCTGAAGCCAAAGAACAGTTTGAAATAGTCTCATATGTGAACGTTTCTGAAGTATATCTAAAATGTAGTCATTCCTTCTGTGCTTTAGGTCAGCTGAGCATATAAGAAAACATGTAGTATCCTCAATTTGTGCTTTTTGTTTTTTTAAATAAAAAATAGAGTATAAATTGTTGTAATATGCTTGATAATTTCCACTGAACTAGAGGTATTAAAGTAAGTTGCTACTGTTTTACATAGTTGTAATTACTATATACTTGTTTTTTAGCTAAAAATAATATGGATGAAAATATGGATGAATCAGATAGACGAAAAAGTCCACGAAGTCCAAAAAAAATAAAAACAGAGCCTGATTCTGAGAAAGGCGAGGTAAAAGATTCAGATGCTGCGAAAGGAGCAGACCAAAGTGAAATGGACATTTCAAAGATTACTGAGAAAAAGGACCAAGGTAAGGAGAGTCAAGGGTCGAGGGAGCCTGGGGGTGATATGCGAATTCACTGGATCTAGTTCACACGAGAGGAGAGGTACTGCATTGTCTCTTTGATAACAGCTCTTTTGGATCATAATTCATATGCCATATAATTCATCACTTAAAGTGTACAATTCAGTGGTTTTTAGTATATTCACAGAGTTGTTCAACCATCACCACATTCCATTTTAGGAAATTTTCATCCCTGGAAAAGAAACCTCATACCCACTAGCTGTCAGTCCCCAGTCGTCCCTAAATCCCAGTCTGCCTTCTGTCTCTGTAGATTTGGGTATTTGGACATTCCCTGTAAATGGAAGCATGTAGTATGTGGTCCTTTGTGTCTGGCTTCTTTCACTTGCATGTTTTCAAAGTTCCTCCGTGGTGTAGCATGTATCAAGACCTCATTCCTTTTTATTTACAAATAACATTCCATATGTCACATTTTGTTCATCTGTTCATCAGTTGATGGACCTTTGGGGTTTCTTTTTGGCTATTAAGAATAATATGCTGATATAAACATTTGTCTACAAGTTCTTGTGTGGACATATGTTTTCACTTCCCTTGGTAAATATGTAGGGGTTGAATTGATGGATCAAGAGATAATTTTATGTTCAGCCTTTTGAGGAACTTCCATTGTGTTTTGTGAAAAATTGTTTATAACCATAAAATACTCTGCAAAATCTTACATGAAAGTATTGGTATATACAGTAGCTATCACAGACTACATAATTTTTCATTGTGGCATTCCATCAGTTTTAGATACTAGAAATCAGAATATTAAAATATTTGGAATGTGTGTGTTTTTTAACCTTTCATAAAATTTAGCCTGTTCCATTGACCTATTTTAATCATATCAGGAACTTTTAAGCATATAGAGATTTATAGTTAAGATCTGTGTAAAAGTGAGAAAAACTGGTATTTTTTAAAATAAAAATATTAACATGAATTCCACATTTCATGCAATCTAAAAATTGCATTTATATAAATGTCTTTGTTTCACAGATGTGAAAGAAGTTTTAGATTCTGACCATGATAAATCCTTTAAGGAAGAACCGATGGAAATCGATGATGATGTGAAAACAGAGTCACATATAAATTGTCAGGAAAGTTCTCAAGTAGATGTGGTCAATGTCAGTGAGGGTTTTCATCTAAGGACTAGTTATAAAAAGAAAATCAAATCATCCAAACTAGATGGACTTCTTGAAAGAAGAATTAAGCAGTTTACACTGGAAGAAAAACAACGCCATGAAAAAATGAAATTGGAGGGTGGAATTAAGGGTATAGGAAAGACTTGCACAAGTTCTTTGAAAAGTCTCTCTGAGTCACCAGTAACAACAAAAGTAAAAGAAGAGTGTCAAAGTGACTTGCTGAGACAAGAAGAAAGCTCTAATGCAAGTAACGATAAATCTGAAGACTTGATCCGAGGATGTTCACAGAGTGATTCCTCAGTTCTTGGAATCAGTGATCCTGCTTATACAACAAATAAACCTTATTCAAAAGATCAAATGTTAGATGATGTCTCCATTCAGAGCCCAGAGACAAACTGTCAGAAACAAAATTCTGTTCGAAATGACATAGAAGAGAGTCTCTCTGAACCTGCCAGTAAAGGCCAGGAGCCCAGTAAGGTAAAAGCAAAAGGAAGTGATTTTCTCATTGATGACTCTAAACTGGTCAGTGCAGATGAAATTGGTACTTTGATCTATAAAAACAAAAAACCACTCATACAGGAGGATAACGACACCATTGTCTCTCCTTCCCAGAGCCCTTTATTTCCATCAGTACCTAAAAGTACGGATGATAGAGAGATCCCATCTCTGTCCAAAGCAATAGACTTTGAAGGAAAACTGGGATGTGACTCTGAATATAATAGCACTTTGGAAAATAGTTCTGATACTATGTCTATTCAAGACAGCAGTGAAGAAGATATGATTGTTCAGAGTAGCAATGAAAGTATTTCTGAACAGTTAATAACTCAAGAACCAGGTATTGAAGGCTTAGAACCATTGAAGCGTGAGTTTGTTTCAGATAAGTCCACTGGAAACTGTGACAGCAGGCTGCAGGGCAAGGTAAATGAAGCAAATGGTAAAAAACCAAGTCAAGATCAGAAATTAGAGGAGAGACCAGTGAATAAATGTGTCGATCAAATAAATCTGAAAAGTGTTGCTGACAAAAAGAATAATGAAAACCGGGAGTCTGAAAAGAAAGGCCAGAAAGCAAGTACCTTTCAAATAAATGGAAAAGATAATAAGCCTAAAGTATATTTGAAAGGTGAATGCTTGAAAGAAATCTCTGAGAGTAAAGTAGGAAGTGGTGACGTTGAACCAAAAGTTAATAATATAAATAAAATAATTCCCGAAAAGGATATTAAGTCTTTGACTGTGAAAGAATCTTCTGTAAAGCCATTCATGAATGGTGATGTCATCATGGAAGATTTTAATGAAAAAAACAACTTGGAAACAAAATCACGTTCACTGAGATCTTCAGATGCTGACGGCAACTACACGGATACCTAGAGACGCTGCCATCAGCCAAAGAGTGTGAAAGTGCACAAGCTGCCATGCCTCTGCCGTCTTGTCCAGAAAGCAGCTCAGTCAGTCAGGTAGAAGATATGGAAATTGAAACGTCTGAAGTTAAGAAAGTTACTCCATCACCTATTATTACTTCTGGAGAGGAATCTAACCTCAGTACTGACTTTATTGATGAAAATGGCCTGCCCACCAAAGATGAAAATGTCAATGGAGAGTCTAAAAGAAAAACAGTCATCACAGAAGTCACCACCATGACATCCACAGTGGCCACAGAATCAAAGACCGTAATTAAGGTAGCAAAAGGCGATAAGCAGACTGTGGTCTCTTCCACAGAAAATTCTGCCACGTCCACTGTCACAACCACCACTACCACGGTAACGAAGCTCTCCACACCCTGCACAGGCAGCAGTGTGGACATCATCTCTGTGAAGGAGCAGAGCAAAACTGTGGTCACCACAACAGTGACAGACTCGCTGACCACTGCAGGAGGCACTCTGGTAACATCGATGACTGTGAGCAAAGAATATTCTACAAGAGACAAAGTGAAACTCATGAAATTTTCAAGACCCAAGAAGACTCGCTCGGGTACAGCTCTGCCGTCATACAGAAAGTTTATCACCAAGAGCAGCAAGAAGAGCATTTTTGTCTTGCCTAATGATGACTTAAAAAAGTTGGCCAGGAAAGGAGGAATCCGAGAAGTCCCTTATTTTAATTACAATGCAAAGCCTGCCTTGGATATATGGCCTTATCCTTCTCCTAGACCAACCTTTGGTATCACTTGGAGGTATGTACTTTAAAACGTATTTGGGGGAGGGAGAAAGTTTTTAAAGAAATTATCTAACAAGAATATCTCATTTATGAGATAATAGCAATAAGACAGGGAAAGGTCTGCATTTAATGGGCAAAGTTAGTAATGGAAATAAGGTACAGAGAGATTTTAACTCGGCCAGCTGGTAGGTACTAAAGTTTAATTAGGGAAAAATGTTTGAAGACTGACAGTGTAAGGGAATCTTTTAAATGAAACTCAACTTCACTTTTCACAAGACAAGTCAAACATAGTTGTTTTTGTGATCTAACCTTCCCAAGTTACTGCCATGTGTTTGCTCTGAAAGTGAGGTATAATCACAGAATTGGATAATCACCAGCTTTCTGGAATGTTTGTATTTTATTTCTACAAGGTGATTCATAAAAACATAAGACATAGGAAACATGCCTGTATATCACACAAAGTTCATTATAATGTGGAAATCTTCCTGATGTAATTTATTTGCATGATTTGTTTTGAGGTTCTCTGTTGTTTTTGTGAGAAAAAGTAACCTCTGAGATTCCTTAAGAGATTTTTTTTTTTAAACCCAGAAACAGTCTTAATTTAAAATTTTCTGGGCATTAAGCTTTGGGGATGAATCATAAGTACATAGTGTTGGCAGTTGTAAGATCACGTAGTTTTATGTTGGGAAAGGATCTTAGAAATTCTTATCTTTTATAGATGCATAATAATTTGCCTCTGGCCACAGAGGGACTGAGTTAGGAATAGTGCCTGGTTTTCCTAAATCCCAATCTACTACTTTATCTCCTGTATCACATTTCACATATTTGTCCTTGCTTTGTCCTTTTTCATGTCCTTGTCTTTTTATCTTTTTGCCCTTATGATTGAAGAGGATGGAACATGAACATTGAAAACATAAGCGTTCTGTGAGACATGCTCAGAAACCAAGAAGGGTCTTAGTTGCAGTTAGATTTTGCTAGGATCCTGAAGTTAATGACAAGTTCCCGAGCAGACTCCATTTCACTTTAGGCTTCATTTCTGTGTCTTTAATATGGTTCTAGTTTCTTTAAGTTAAAAATCATACTTTTTTTGTTTCCTTTATATTAACTAGTTTTTTTTAATGAAAAAAGAATGTAAATGAGTACTCTCTATAAAGGAATTAATTAAATGACCAGTCATAGTTGGTTTGACCAAGTTTTTAATAACTCATCTTTTGATTTGAAATAAAATATCATCACTCCATTACACATTCAATAGAGACAGCTGAAAAGTACAATTTCTCTGCAGGGCCTGCAATGAAGGATTTGCAGAATCCTGCAGGGAATCAAGGAACTCTCCATTACAGTTCATGGATTTGTAGGATTACTCTGCACTTTTCTGCTTTCTTCATTGAGAGCGGTCCCAAAATGTATCCTTGACTGTCCTGCAGGTAACTTCTTTCCCACTGGAAAAGTTACTGTGTACAAATACTTTAAGTAGAGTGACCTGGCAGTTGTGGAGGCCGACCTTTCTGCTCTTTCCTATTCTGAAATGGAAGGTAGGCTCTACTGGGAAGCACTCTTCTCTGAAGCAGGTCTGTTCACCTGTCGCCCAGGGCCCTTTTCTGCACGGCTGGGTTTCAGAAGCCTTGTATTGTTATGTTTCAATATGCACTGGGGGCACAGTTTTATCTGTTTAGTTAATTTGTCATTTTTTAATGGAAGGAAATACCTTCCTGTACGTTTTAAACAGATATTGCCTTCATATATATGCTAACGTCTTAATTTGCTGAAGTTGAGAGAAACATAATCTCTTCTGTCTAACGGAGGCATGGGCAAATACGTAAATTACTCTTGACTTAAAAATGCATTTAAAAAAAATGTATCGCTGTAGAAACCATGCATGTGAAATGCATTCTTCTACTCACTCTTGAATAAAATGTCTGATGCTTAGAGTAGGAGCTAAGAATGCCAAAGGCGCATGTTTGATCTTTATTAATTTAACGTTCAGGCTGGGCAGTATTGGAAAAGTGAAATTTGTCCCATCGACTCATCAGGGCCTCTTTTTCCCTCCCCTCTGTCCTCCCCCTCGCTCCCCTTCCCCCAGGCCCTGAGTCTGTGTTTCATGATCAGTTGAACCAGTAGTTTTCTCCACAGTGCTGTCAAAAGGACCCTCCTAAAATGCAGATCTGTCCTGTGAATATTCTGACTGAGCTGTGGTGTTACCTGCTGCAGGACTGGGAGGGGGAAAGCATTGTCACCTGTAAACCACATCCACAAGAAGTACTGCCCTTTACAACCAGTGCAACGTGGGGTACCTATCAGAGATCTCCTGATAGACTGTCTTAGGTGCTCTTTAATCCTCCTGTTTGGTGCAGCTCATTCTGGCTTCTGCCTTCCTCTCCTGGGCCTGCTCTTGCTGCTCCACATCCGTTCCCTCCAGCCATAGTACACTGGAGCTGGTTTCTCGGAAGAAGTGTCTGCTCTTGTACACCTTCCCCCGAAGCACATGTGTGTTCCTTGCCTTTGATCAGCTGCTCCCACATCCTTGTCCTTTGAGATTCCAGGGAAGCTCCAGTCCCCACCCCCAAACCAAATCAGATGCCCCTCCCTTGTGCTTTCCTCTGTGACAGCTCCTGCTGACTCAGGAAGGGATTATAATTCATCTCTGTGTCCCCAGCTCCTTTCACTTAGTTTTATTTGAGAAAACACTCAAGTATTTTTTGAATGAATAGGCTGTAATGCATGAAGTGTGTTCCCCACCTGGTGTTACTTCCATCGTAAAATAGAGTTGCTTTAAAGTTGTTTGTGGAGAGTGATTGGAGGAAGAAGAAAGAGCATGAGAAGAAACTCTTTCCAAATAAATATTCATTTGTTTTCTCCCATGAGTCCAAAATTCCCTAGGCATTTCTGTAGGGTGTGGTCTGAAAGTGACAAACACTTTCCCTATCTCAGGACATCCCTGCACTAATTAACATTTGCTGTCTAATTTAAGAACCATCTGTCCAAGTCAGAGGATTCACAGGGTGATAGCACAACGAAGAAAATAATGGTGTCACAGGTGGAGATGAGAAGTTAAGAAGTTGTGGTAACTTTTTGGCTGGAGCTTTTTCTTTCTCACATTGTTCATTTTTCTGACTTAACATTAAGAATAGAAAGCATTGCTTTCAAATACAAATTGTCTCAGATTTACCTTCTACTTCTGTTAGAGGAGGAAATTATTTTCATTTTATAAGTTTTCTTTACACTACAGTCAATTTA